TGTAAATTTCACTTATTTCACATTTATTGTAATTACATATGAACTTTTGGATCCTTGACTCAGAGAGAAGAAAAAGAGATCAGTTTAGCGGAATAGAATAAGGAAAAGTCAAACTACCACCTAACATACTTTTTACTGAACCATTAACTGAAAAATTCTGCCCGCTTGAAGCTCTCAGTATCTAATTCTCAGCATTTACTAAACTCAGAGCCTATCCCACAGTAAAGAAAATTCTTCTGTGGCGGTGAATTGGTTGAAGACTGCTTTCGATTCGCTCCGCTGTTGCTGCCAAATGCCTTCTAGCTACCGGTGGCCAACTACATAGAATATCCACATCTCTTATGCGAGGAATAGCACAAATTTGGCATTAATACCGTCAGCATCAAAATTGAATGCAGAAATACTTTTACCAACAAGTGCTGCTTTTGACTGAGTAGGTAATTAAGGAGTAAAGTCATCTCTCGACGTACGAAAACCAAACCAGTCTCTATAAGTCACTCATCATGCCCGTGTTGGTATATGGCGCAGAAGCATGGACAATAACAACATCCGATGAGGCGGCTCTTGAAATATTCGGGAGAAGGATTGCGGAAGATTTATGGGCCTTTACGCGTTGGCGATGGTGAGTACCGCAGACGATTTAACGATGAGCTGTACGAGCTTTGGAATGACATAGACATAGTGCAGCGAATTAAAATATAGCGGCTCCGCTGCCTTGGCCATGTCGTTCGAATGGACTCCGAGGAGGCTACAGCTCTTAAAGTATTCAACTCGAAACAAACTGGCGGTAGTAGAGGAAGAGGAAGGCCCCCACCGCGATGGAGAGGGCAAGTGGAGAAGGACTTGGCTTCACTTGGCATTTCCAATTGGCGTCAGTTGGCACAGAAGAAAAACAACTAGCGTGCTTTGTTGAACTCGGCCAAAATCGCTTAGACGGTTACAGCGCCAAATTAGAAGAAGAATGGTTCTTTATGCGTGCTCCATCGAATAGCACATTCAGCCCTATTATGGTAATCTACGTCGACGTCGATGTCTTTTTTTCATCAAAAAATCATCAGTCCAACTCCGGTTTCGCTGACCGAAGTAGTTTTGCGAGGAAGATTTTTCCGCTAGCGTTGGACTTGCGAGGGCTATTTTTTGACGAAAAACATACATCGATTTCGACGTGGACAACCATAATAGGTCTGATTATCTATTGTCGTGTCGAGTTCAAGTCGTTTTTCGACAGTTGATGCGTATCGAAAATCTTGGCATCACGAGAGTATCTAAGCAATGCTAATATTGTCAAGTCGTAAAAATTAGTTTGATTAAAGATAAATTAGTCGACATAGTCGAACACGAACGCCTAATTTTCGGTAGATATATTCATTATTCACATTGATTCCTTTGAAATTAATATTTCTTTGATATTGCGATAATTTAACTTTAACCATTTGATCTAAGCTAAGTAGATAGTATCCCAGAATCTCACTGAATTATTAATCAACTAGCTTACAATTCCAGTCACGAAGGCAATTGCATCACAATCGCAATTTAAAATTTTAGCTAACTTCTTAAAATATTTACAAAATTTTCAAGAGAAAACTTCTAAGTTGATTAAATCATAGCGTTGGGAGACAACCAATCAAACGCCAAAAAATTAAATAGCTTATAAGCTTTGATGGCGCACTTGACAGCTGCGTGAATTGTCCCAAATTATTAAAATCTTTGCGAAAAAGTTTAAGTGCTTTTCCTTCCTTTTTCTGGCAAAATATTTTTCTTTGCTTACAACGAAGATTATGCATGTCAGCCGCCTTAAAAACATGAATTATGATGATATAATTTACAAAAAAGATTTTTTCTTTCCAATATTTGGGCCAAAGTTAAAACCGAATTGTAAGTATTTGACTTATTGACAACTTTTAAATTGTTGTTAAAGGGCCATTTCCTTTTGTGTAATAAAGTTATGCCAACAAACTTAGGTCGCTGATAAGTCTTCAAAGTTATTTCGTACTTTTGAAACAGTGTCATAAAATTTAAGACTTGTAATGAGAAAAGTTTGCTACTCATTAAAGTTAGTGCGCATGGATTATTCTACTTATTAAAATGCTGCTCATATAATTAAGTATTCTTTTGAAGACTGAAAATTATTAATTGATACTTGCTGCTCTATCTTGCCTTTTTTTAAAAACTCATTCCTCTAAAAAGTTTATTTCAAACAGATTTTATTATTTAAGTGGCACATAGGGGGCAGAAATATTTTATTTATTTATTTTTTTTTTTAATTATGAAATGGCTGTAGTTGATTGAAAAATAATCACGTCGAAAAAGATAACTTCTGTATCTGTGTGCCTCATTAATAGCACTTTACTTATTTCCTTTCTCTTTTTGCATTGCAATCCGTCAAGACCATGAATAATTTTTTTCATATAAGCCTTCAGTAAAGGTTAACCCTGAAAATCTACTCCACGGACTGTTAACTTTTTTAAAGCTCTTACACGGCTTTCTTATTTAAAGCAAGAAATTTTTCTGAATATGTTCACACACAGCTTTTTTTGCCTTTTTTTGGGACTTATAAAAGTTTTCATCCGAATTTTTCCTTATTTTCAGAGTACTGAATAAATATTTTGTCCATACTATCTTTTTTTAAGGATTTGAAGCGATCAAACGTTTTGGTGACTTACCAAAAGTAGTTCTGAAATAAGTCTCTTTTCACGTCCATACTCCTCAACCTCTTACTATCGATTTAAATTCAAAATAAACTATTCCTTAAAGTTTCCAATTAGTGGACGAAGTAACCCTAACCATTAAATTATGTGGCTATATATTCCTGAAGAAATACTTAAGATTATTTAGTTGTGACAGTTATTACTTTACACGCTGTATACTTGGCAATGAAGGAGAAATTGTTGCATCTGGCTACTACATATATCATATATAAGCTTGGGGCTCATGAAAAATTATAGTATAGGAATGGGTGAAGCGCATCCTCACGACAATCCAACGCGAAATGATTACATCGATCCAAGCAGTGCTATCGGCCTATATGAACTTCTGTTTTGAATTCTGTTGGTACAACAACATAATTAGTAATGCATAGACACTTGACTGCTTCATTCGAGTGAAGGCGGCGAAGAAAACATAGTGAGTGACATTGGGGACTTCGCCAGATTATCAAAGCATAATAGCTTTTACCCATTTTTTTTATAAAATGCCTCCTTAAAAAATAGTAAGTTCTTTAAAAAAAAAAAACTTTGTACGTGTTGCTATTACATCAAGTTATTGTATATATAAGTAAAACAATATATAGAAATTTTAACGTTTATTACTAACTAGCAATTAGCCGGCGTGCTTCACAGCGCCTTAAAAGTATTTTGGTGCTGTTTGATACCCATATTGTAATATTTCATTTAATTTATCAATTTAATTTAATACAATTTTTCAAACAGGTGGCAACCCTGTTCAAAAATGTTTTCGGCAGCAAACTTTCCTAAACCTCGTCAGTTGGATACCCATATTGCAAAATTGAATTTAACCTCGAAAACCTCAAAATAATTTTTTCTGCTGTACCTAAGCCTTCTTGAATCACTTTCTTTTGACGGCCATGTTGAAATATTTACTTTTTCTTATCAATTTACCTAAAGTGCGATTTTCAAACAGGTGCCAACTCTCCAATTTTTTTGATCTATATTTTAAGTTACACCTTAAGCAATACATCGGTGAAAGCCGAATGCAATTCCATGTATTAGTTTTCGTACAAACATACAGACAGACAGACAGACAAATATTCTAAAAATTGTTGATTTGGCTTCTGGTGCTCTAATAAAGACTCCTCCAATTATTCTTCTTTTAATATCTATAATGAAACAATACATTATAAACATTATGTAGATATTGCAGTCCTAAATTCATTAGGGAAAAAACATTTATCTAAGAAATTAACATTTATAACTTAAACAATTAATAGAATTAAAAATATTTCTTTTCATAGAGAATTTTGATGTGTGTTTTTGTAATTTTTTTCAAATTTTTTCTTCGCCCCGTTCTCGAGATATTTGAAAAACTTTTAAATCCATTTATTTTTATTTTTTGTGCTGTAAAAATGTATTAATCGAGCTCAACTTTCACATTTATTTATTAATTATGTTTATCCATCAACCCTGAAAATTTGAAACAAAACAAACACAAGAAGTGTGAACCCCGTCCACTTTGGTATATTTTTTTTTATGCTGATTCTATTTTATCAAAAAAAAAAAACCTTTTCTTCAGTGACATTATTTCAAATTAAAACATATATTTAAGCAGTTTCTGCAATTCACTTCTGAGTAAATTTCAATAAAATTCGCTTTGAATTCAAACTGGCAGAATCAAAAAAAATAATAACGGGTGATTTTTTAAGAGCTTGATACCTTTTTTTTTAAAAAAAACGCATAAAATTTGCAAAATCTCATCGGTTCTTTATTTGAAACGTTAGATTGGTCCATGACATTTACTTTTTGAAGATAATTTCATTTAAATGTTGACCGCGGCTGCGTCTTAGGTGGTCCATTCGGAAAGTCCAATTTTGGGCAACTTTTTCGAGCATTTCGGCCGGAATAGCCCGAATTTCTTCGGAAATGTTGTCTTCCAAAGCTGGAATAGTTGCTGGCNATGAAATGTCAAAGCATACTGAGCATCTTTCTCTTTGACACCATGTCTGAAATCCCACGTGATCTGTCAAATACTAATGCATGAAAATCCTAACCTCAAAAAAATCACCCGTTATATATATATACATATATACACGGAATTAAAAAAAGTCCATAATGAAAATAAGCCAATGAGAAAACAGAAATAAAAAAATAGAATTATAATTTCACTTAATTTTTATTTCCGTACTCTGAAACTTTAACGGAAGTTTCCTTTAAAGCCAAATTTCGTACATTTTCTCTTCTCAATGTCTGTCTTCGTATTATATTTGCATTTGTTTACCAATCAACCTTATCTTCTTCTTCTTCTTTTTTCTTCACACACACACACAGATTCAGCCCAGTTTGTCCGCAACGCCTACCCGATATCGGCAATGAGACAGCCGCTTTAGAGCGAATGCCCAAGGGACGATTGGAGTATTTGAAACGTCTACTGCCATATCTGCAAAATCAATCGGAAGATTGCCTTTATTTGAATATTTACGTGCCCATACAAGGTAAGTGATACGCCGCCGAAATGCAGGCATAAATATGTACTATCTACACACCTACACAATATGTATAGTTGTATGTATGTATATATTATTAGATATTGATAGCAATAAGAAGGTATGACTGAAAAGGCATTAGTTTGTGTGTATGTGTGTGTAAATTTTTAAATGCAAATGTTGTTAGTTGTTGTAGATTGCCCAGGTGGCTATTTAACGCAGCCGCATTGTGTGGGGATTGCAGGAAACGCAGCTGTCGTCAGCTAGCAATTGGCAGCGGTCAAAGTGGCAAATGAACTTATGGACCATGACAGAGTTTTTGGGTTAGGGCATGATATGCAAAAATATTTATAGATTTATAATGCTGAGGCATGAAACACATACATACATACATATGTAAATAAATGCGTGTTTATTTATAATTTTGAGAAAAATATTTGCTAAGGTATTTTACTGTTTGCGTAGTTAAGTGGTGGGGAGGTGGTGGTAGGAGTTGTATGTTTTGAAAATGGCTTGGTTATGTATTTTATTGAATTTTTTATTTTTTTTTTCTGCGAGGAAACTAAGAGCTCCATGTCTAATGCGGTAATGTTTTTAAGTGTTTACAAAAAAAAATAATAATTGTTGGCATTTGAATAGGTTGCCAACATCACTCGCTCTTCTTTTTCATCTGCATATTCATCATTTTTATTTTGCAGCAACTGCTTAAATAAATACATCCTCATTATTTATAATTTTGCCAGATTTTAGTTTTTGTTGTTTGAGGAACGAGACCCCCTGTCAATGGGATTCGACACCACACCAAGTGTCTAAATTTACAGCTAAAAATTTATCCAATCAAGCAAAAAAATTTGAACTCATTGTTAGTCGAAAATAGAAATGTAAAGTAGGCAGAAAAATCGCGAAAATGAGGCTGCCAAAAAACAAAATCATATTTACACTTGGCAGGCGTTAACTTCGATGGCAACGCCACTTTGTTGACACTTGCAAAGGGTAGTGATTTGAGAAAATTTGTCGCAACTGCTTGAGTTGTTTTGGCACCGCAGCACTTGACGCATATCGGCCTAGTTTAGGTCGTTGCAGTAGCCGCAGCTGCAGCAGCTGTTGTTTTTCCAACTTACTACCGGCTTTCAGCTGGCATTAATTTTGGCCTCAATTTCATAGCTCTTGCTCAGCTGCTACCTAACTAAAATCGATTTCTTTCCGCTACTGGCCTAGCTCATTGTTTATTTTAACTTCGATATTTTTTTTTGTTGTCCTATTTCTACATATTTTTCAGCGCTCTCTCCGCTACTTCCACCTATTCGTCCGGCGAAAGAGAATACACTTTTTTTTACGCCTAGTTAAAATTTTCGTATTGTTCGTTTCAGTTTAACTTAGACTACAACGAGTCCTTGTACTCCTCGCTTCTTCCATTGTCGGTTGTTTGAAAAGCGAAAAATGGCGTAAAAGGTAGCAACCAAAAATTGTTCAAATGCCAGTTGAATATTTCGAGGGACGGTGTACCCAAACAGTCAACCATATCGGTAAACTTGATAAACTCTCGCTGTTACTGTGTATTGGTGTTAACCTTATTAATAGACATTCTGCTTTTTTTCGCACTAAACACGAGCTGACGTTTTTTTTTTTTCTTTCGACTCTGCCACATTAACCCATTTTTTGCCTCCGTTGACATTTTTTCGCTGATGCCAAATTCCACTTACTCAGCTTGCTGTATTCCTTTTTTCAGCACTTTTTTAGAAATGCCTTCAGCCTTTGAGGGCTTTGATTATGTTTGTACAAATGCTGGTATATATTCATTTTTAGCTGATGCTGATGGTGATGTTGCCACAAATTAATGACACATAATTTCACAAGATTGACTGCTATAAATAAAATATGTATATTTTGATGACTGTTCATGTAGCTTAAAATAACGACTCATTTCTCATTTTTATGCGGCACTTTAGGTATGTGTATGTACATTAAGGTGGTCCAAAAAAAAAAAAAAAAAAAAAGAAAGTCGGAATTTTAATGCTCTCTCCCGCTAGGATTATTCCACAAAGAAACAAAATGTATGCGTATACATGTATATAAATACAAAATAAAGTTTTTCGATCGAGTAATATTGATTTTTAAGAATTCTATACCACTTCTACAAAAATGGTTTTTTCCTAAATCAAATACACGGAAAACTTTAAGCGCTTTAGCAACCTCTAAATATTTTTTAATTTCAAAAGAAGGTATATATTTTTTTCACTATATAAAATTTCTAGGGGACGCAAGCATAAAAGTTCCGACTCTCCTTTTTCACACGTATTTTTGGAACACCTTAATGTATATATATATATAGATACACTCATCCATTTTGTACACAAATATTCTGTTTTTTGTCGGTATGAGTTGATGGGTTCATTATAAGGATATGTAGTAAATAATACGCCCCAAATGAAAAACGATTTAATTTATTTTAAATACAAAAAAATGGGAAATAATTACGAATTTCTGTCGGTGGCTCATTATACCTTTCATGAGCATGGAATGGTATTATAACTTTGGTCCGATGTTTGTAAGTACCAGAACAAGAAGAGATAGACCCACTAAAATGTATACTTAAATGATCAGAACGGCGAGCTGAGTCGATTTAGCCATGTCCGTCTGTCCGTCTGTCCGTCTGTCTGTCTGTCTGTCTGTCCGTCTGTTTGTATGCAATCTAGTCTCTCAGTTTTCGAGATATCCGGATCAAATTTGGTAGGTGGGTGTATTTTTATAATGTATTAATCATTTGTCGGAACCGGAAGAATCGGGTCACTATAACATACAGCTCCCATACAACTGATTGTTCAGATATGAGATTTTTCATTATAACTTCTCCATTTATGCAGCTACGAACATGAAATTTTGCAATACTTGCACCCATTATCAACAGAATACTTACAGTGAAAATTACAAAGATCGGGTCACTATAACCTATAGCTCCCATACAACTGATTGTTCAGATATAAAATTTTTCGTTATAACTCCTCCATTTATATAGCTAGGAACATGAAATTCCGCACTGTTTTCAATAATTATCAACAGAAAACTTACAGTGAAAATTAAAAAGATCGAGTCAATACAACCTATATCCACCATACAACTGATTGTTCAGATATGAGATTTTTCGTTATAATTCATCCATTTATGTAGCTAGGACCATGAAATTTCGCGCTGTTTTCACTCATTATCAACAGAAGACTTACAGTGAAAATAACAAAGATCGGGTCACTATAACCTGCAGCCCCCATACAACTGATTGTTCAGATATGAGGTCTTTTATCATAACTCCTCCATTTATGCAGCTAGGAACATGAAATTTCGCACCGTTTTCACTCATTATTAACAGAATACTTACAGTGAAAATAACAAAGATCGGGTCACTATAACATATATCTCCCATACAACTGATTGTTCAGTTATGAGAATTTTCGTTATAACTCCTCCATTTATGCACCTAGGAACATGAAATTTTGCAATACTTCCTATAGTTATAACCTATAAAACCTATAAACCTAAAGTTATAACCTATAGCCTCCATACAACCGATTGTTCAGATTCGAGATTGTTTTATAATAGTTTCAAATCTTTTAACTAAAACTAAGTAGATTTTCCAAATTGAATTCTAATATAATCATTAGAATAAATATATACAAAATATATATCGCGCTCAAACACTTGCTGGTGCTTGACTCAGCTATTCTTCCGATTTGTTTGGCAAAAGGGTTTATAGTTTTTTGCCACCTCTGTACCCATTTGCCGTTCAAATGAGAAGCTATTTTGATGACAGAAATAATGGGTGATTTTTTTGAGGTTAGGATTTTCATGCATTAGTATTTGACAGATCACGTGGGATTTCAGACATGGTGTCAAAGAGAAAGATGNACTTGGTTGACATGTGGTTTCAACAAGATGGCGCTACATGCCACACAGCTCGCGATTCTATGGCCATTTTGAGGGAAAACTTCGGAGAACAATTCATCTCAAGAAATGGACCGGTAAGTTGGCCACCAAGATCATGCGATTTGACGCCTTTAGACTATTTTTTGTGGGGCTACGTCAAGTCTAAAGTCTACAGAAATAAGCCAGCAACTATTCCAGCTTTGGAAGACAACATTTCCGAAGAAATTCGGGCTATTCCGGCCGAAATGCTCGAAAAAGTTGCCCAAAATTGGACTTTCCGAATGGACCACCTAAGACGCAGCCGCGGTCAACATTTAAATGAAATTATCTTCAAAAAGTAAATGTCATGGACCAATCTAACGTTTCAAATAAAGAACCGATGAGATTTTGCAAATTTTATGCGTTTTTTTTTAAAAAAAAGTTATCAAGCTCTTAAAAAATCACCCGTTACAATAGAACGTTTTTTAATTCCTGCGGAGTGCAAAAGCTATAAAAAAAACTTTGTTTCTGATGTTGCTCTGGCTGGAATTGAAGCGCTCTCATACAGCACTCACGTACCACTTTTTCCAAAAAATGTGGCCCAGGCTGCAAGTAATTTTCAGGCTGAGATATAAACGCGATCGACCTAGCTCCATCTAAGCAAACCTTCGTTGTTTACAGTCAAGCTGGCATCAAAGCCCTAGGGTCAAGGAATTTTCAAAATATATCGAGTTTCGAAATTTCAAGGTTTTATGGCTTCCGAAAAATATGGATCTATCGATTTATATCGAGATTTGTACATTTTTTGCTTTCGAAACTTGTCGAGCATACGAAATACACAGTTATTGAAATTTATCGAAGAGTAACGAAATTAGTCGAGTTATCGAATTTTGTTGAGTTATAGGATATTAGTTGTTTTTTTTAAATCATTGAATTATTGATAATTGCCAAATTACCGAAATTTATCGACAAACTGGAATGTATGCGGTCAATGCCAAAGTAGGAGATTTTCCTCTGCAAGGATATTAAAAACACTAGAAAAACGGTCGTATTAGGTGAAATTACTAATCTTTTCATTGTCACTCGACAAAATGATAGTTGTGTTTTTTTTA